AAGATGTGTTTTGGCAGGATAGCCACACAGCAGACAGCTTCCTTGTCCAAGTCTCGGGGTCCAGGAAATCCCACATGATGTGGGCTTCAAGATTTGCTTCGATTCGAGCTGCCAGATGTCGGTTGTTTGTGTTTGCAGGTGTTCATGAAAAGCTTGACGCTGAGAGGCTTAGGGCACTCTTTGTCAAAGACGATGAAGGAATCCTTGATGGAGCTTCCGACTATACGATGTTTAGATGATGGCTTTTGCTTGTGCAAATCTGAGCTGGACCTCTTGTCAGCTTAGAAGTCACAAGCAGATAGTGCTTGCCACACCACACACTACCAACCTTGAATTTGCCGAAATACGTGTTATTTGTCGCCGTTCTTAACTAAAGGGAATCTATCATTACTGGAGTCTGCTATTTGTTCCAGGCACCAAAAAACAAGAAGTGCTTGATGACGCAGGCCCCTCGCGTGTGGCTATGTCGATGAATCAAGTCCCAGGCATTTGATGGTTGCCTCACCTGAGTTCCTGGACTTTCAACTCTTTGGGCAGACCACGAAGGATCGGAAGTGAGCAACGGTGTTGGTAAACTTGCACAGAGACCGGTCAGCTCAGCCCGGCAACTCTGCTCAGAAGAAGCAGACGCAGACGCCAGAAGAGGCAGGTTTCTGCCGGGATTCTCGCGCATTTAAGGGGGATTCCCGCCGCAGCAAAAGCCACTTCCTCTTCAAATTAGGTTTGCTAAAAGCAAACTTTACACTCTCACTACTTGCAGGCAGAGCACCAATTGCCTCCACTACCAGTTACTACTGCTGACTCCGGGGAGGATGTTTCGGGCCGCTTGTCTCTTCAGCCAAAGTCTGCGTGAGACAACCTTGGCAGATTTACACTGACTTCGTGCCAATCCACTCAATCAGGGACAGAAAGGCCCGTCGAACCATGGTAAGGCCTAGCGTTCACGGATTCGAGCCGCATTTGGGATGTGGCTTGGAATCGGGTTTGTGAAGTGGCATTCCGGTTGAAGCCACATAGGAAGGAGCCAGGAAGCTGAAAACACCAAAGGCCCTGACGTTTTCGGTGAGACGGAGCCATCTCAAACGCCTTGAGCCTCTCGAGGTTTGGCCGAGTTTGTAGGCTTCTCGCATCCCATCCATGGGACCCGTCAAATTCCAGTGCTCGGAAGCTGTTGGATCGGGTCTTCGGGCGACAAAACGCGAGAGCTAGAACATCGGTTTGAGCTAAAGATCCCAGAGCCCCAGCCATGTTCAGCTAAGACTGCTGCAAGTGGTGGGGGTGGGGCGAGTGGGCTAGCGCCGCGTGTACGACATTGTACGATATCATACGACTTCATTTGCGCGTGGGTTGTCCCGAAGTTTCCGAATCGAGAAATGTACGCATGTCAATTTGGCACCGACTTTCAGACCCGTGAACCTTGCCTTTCCCATGTTGCCATAGGATTTAGCCCTTACTTCCGCCCCCGTTCCCCGCCGAAGGCCTGAACAAGGCTTTGTTAGGGTCTTTCGAGCGGGGCGGGGGTAGAACGGAGAGGTTTGGATCCTATGTTAGGCTCATCCAGTGAGTGGCTCCCCAAACCCCCGGCCGCTTGTTGGGCCACTTCCTGTGATTGACACGGTAGTTGTAGCAATGGCCCACGGAGAGTTACTCCCTTGCAGACAAACTGGAACCCAAAGCATCATTCTAGCGGAAGCTCCTTTTGTAAGACCCTTTGGTTGTGCTCATGTAAATTTGCAGGCTGGTATCTCCCACCATGCCTTGTTTGCCTCGCGTCGTGTTGGCAAGGCTCCCGCAGAGAAGAAACAGTCGCGCCCTCGTGGTCTGTCACATGTGTTCGGCACGCCGCCCGGTCACGGGTTCTCGGAACGGGGGGTCTTCCCAATTGCCGGAAGCCCTGAGTACTACGGCTCTTCGGCGTGTCAAGTTTAAGTTGCCCTTGAACGGGCATGCTACGGGCATTCAGCAAACTTACATGGCTTTGTGATCCGGGCTTGAATCCTTTGTTTAAGATGGCAAAATCAAGATGTCCCACCATCCCATTTTGTGTACGCCTCACTTTGAGTGACGCTTCGCACCGTCCGGGTGAGTTCCTGCAGGCTTGCGGCGAAATCGGCTTGAGAGTTCAAGCTTCCTTTGGACATCAAGTGGGTGTGTTGGGCCCCCCCCCCGGAATGGGCGGTGTTCCTTTGGGTTTCCTATACTTCCAGAATATTGGTCGATTTCAAGCTTTGGTCTTTGGAAGGGAATCTTACTGGACATATTTTCGCAGTTTTGTTCCAGGGGGCTGAAGCAGCAAACGGAAGTGTGAGACCGCCAAAACGGGGGGCTACCTTCAAAACGGGCGTGCCCACCGAGCGGTTCACTTTCAACGGAGTGGAACCTGGTGACATCCTCACCAGATGTCAGGGATCAGGTACTCACTTCCTGAGTTGGTGGACTTTAAACTTTTTGGAAAGACCATTTTAGTGGTAAATACAAAGTTCAAACTGTTTTTGGCCAGTCAACTTGAAAAGTGAGGGTATCATTTGCTTACGGGATTGATGTCTGCACGCTTCATGGTTGGGGATGTTATCCTCACTAAGTTTTACAGTCACAGTTCAAGGTTCGTCATGTTCCTCGCTAAACTTCTCGCAGTTGAAGTCGTTGTGGGCAATTGGGCCTAAAGTGGAACCCCGGACCCAGAACTGTCGGATTCCTCAGGGCAACGACGAAGAATAGATGGATCATACGGATGTTTTTTAATCCAGGCGCCATACCTCAGCTTCCCTCTCAGTGGGGGTTTGGATCCCGGTGGTCTGGTTGTGTTCCGGGGTGCAGGCCCCCAGTTCGCACCAATCCAAAAATCCAATTTGCTGAGATGAATCTGTGTTTCTTTTCCGTGTTTTGTTTTTAGAGAGGACATCGATTTCACTACAGCAGCTATTTGTTCGTCCTTTTCCAGGGGGCTTAAGAAGCACATGGAAGCAACCCACCAATCAATTGGGGTACCTGAATACCCACCCGCACTCAGGGGCAAGCTCAGCTTTCTCTTGCAGCGTCCGAGGCTCAGTGAATTGGGTCACGTTTGGACAGGCTTGGTCATGTTTGGTTTCCTTGGCAGCTTCTGTGAGTGTCCCCTTTTTGCAGACCAGGCACCAAGCAAAGGGCGCAGCTTCACTCGTTCAGTGGTGCCTGCCCCTTTTCGTTTCAGTGGTTTGCCCACTAGAAAGGATAACCCCCCCCCAAAGTGCTCCCTTTCTCTACCAGGGTCACTACTGGGAAATCCTTTCCCAAACCGTGCACACCCAAGCTGCTTGTCAAATGCAGCGTCCTTGTTTCTGCACTCATTTATGCTCTGGGAAGCAAGCGTGGGTAGAACAGAGGGGCATAGAGGGGCCCATGATGAAGGTTCTTGAATGGTTGCCTTTGGGTTTCTTACGTTTTATCCTAGGGAAGAATATGGTTGTTTTCAATGGAGTGAAGCTGGGGGAACATGCATGTTGTGCCCACCATTGTTGTGCCACATGGGTTTTACCTTGTGAGTTTCCACCTGTTGTCGTTTCTAGGTGTCTCCATTGGGCAGTTTGGCCTTCAAATAGGGGCCATGTTCCTGCACGGGTTGCGTGTGGGGTATTCCACTACTGGCCTTTCCAGTAATGAATGCCCGGACGTTCATTGCAAGCCAGACCATTCTCAACCACAAAGCCATCAAAAAAATGCCGGTCGCATGGTTGTCGTTGGGAAACATTTTACATTTTTCTTATGGTGGCTTAGTGTAAAATCCCCACTTAACTGCTAAATGTTAAATGTTTGCTCCCCTTCCAACGTCAACCAAGGTCGCCCCACTGAGGCACTTAAGTCACTTGTTCGGTTGCCGAAGTGAGCTTAGTTGGAGGCATCCGGTCGATGGCCTAGGTCCTTCGCAGGCGGGACGCGGGGCGCGGGGGTTTCGGGTTTCGGGTCCGTCGCTGAAGAGCTTGGTGTCTCCTTTGCCACGTGGCTATGGATTTTCAATGAGGAACCACCCCACAAGTGACAGGTTCAGATGAATCACAACCTAAATGATGTCCACAAAGGGTCCCTAACCTTCCATTTGCTTGTGAGAATATGGTTTAATCTTTCCTTGTTTGCTTTAAAGGGAATCTGTCACTGCTGGAAAGAAAGATTTGTATTTTTCCAGGGGGCTGAAGCAAATGGAAGTTTGCCATGTCTTCTCTCTCTCTCTCTCTCTCTTTGAGGCTCCTCTGAGTCTCCTCTTTGTGGTGCTTTGCGCCCCTTGTGGTAGAGAGAGCATGGGCAGCGACTGGAATCCCCGCCGGTGCCCATAGCGAGAAGGGCTTGCACCCGCTCTCAATGGCTCGGATCAATGGCTCGGATCATGGCAAAATGGGGAAGCACGCAACCAACCGACACGGGGGCAAGTGATGTAATCGAACCGTCACGCAACCCCAGAATGTCGGATTCGTGTGATTAAAGTGAACTTTCTCTTAGGTGTTGGTATGGCCCCTGGCACGTGCCAAGACACACATGAACAGTCAGCGATTTCTTTCCGGAAGGATGACTGCGACTTTTAGAAGAGCGTAGGGTCTTTGCGCAAGTCGGGTCGCACTATTGAACGAATACCAGTGGCCCACAGAGCCAGACGCATTGGGTGGTGGCCAAGTAGGGTTTGGTCGAAATATGTTAATTAAAATGTCCAGCAGTCTATGGTTCATGTGGGAGGGACGTAGGGAACTCACCAAATTTCTCACAAAAGCCAGAGGACTCACTAATCTCTCCACGTCCTGTCTGAGAACCCGCAAGTTAGATCGTGGCAACCCCAAATAAGCTTTGGTGCATTTTGCCAAGGGATGTTAGGACTTTAACTTTTTGCCAACTCATGGGTTTTCCGTATTAAACCACAAAAAGTGAGTAGATTTTCGCAGGGGAGCCGATTTGCGCCCCAGAGGTTCCACGAGACAAGGGCAACCCACGTGGGCCAGCATCACGATTCCCCCTCCCCCCCAACAAGCAGAAGAGCCATGGCTCGCCGCTGCTGCTGTTGCAGCTGTGCGACGGCATGGGCCATCGTCGCTTTGCTTGTGGCGCTGCTGGTTGGGCTCTGCTTCAGCGCAGCCTCGGTGGCTTCCTCAGAAGTAGCTGCCCTTTTTTATTTGTTTAAAGTGCTTTTTTGGGGTCCCTTTGTTTTCCACTCACCAGGCCAAACAGTTTCTTCTTGCTGGGGTCTGACTTTTCCAGCCTAGGTGGCGGAGGGTTTTCTGGAGCCAATGCCTCCTGCGGAGGAGCTGCCAGCGGGGGCGCGCTACTTCCACCGGCCCTCTGACGACGGCCGCCTTGAGTGGCACGAGTATGGGTCGACGCGGCCGGAAGCGCGCGTGTGGGTTCTCGTGCATGGAGCTGTCAGCACCGGCGGCGTCTTCCACATCTTCCCTGGCTTTGATCGCCGCATGCGGGAGATGGAAGTGCGAGTGATCGCGCCCACCATGCCGGGCTGGGGCGCGTCGGACCCCTACACGCCTGTTTTCGAGATGACGGGTGGCACGTGGCTGGAGCGATGGAGCACAGACGCGCTGGCGTTGCTCAATTCTCTGGGCGTCGACCAGTTTCTCACTTCCTGAGTTAACTGAACTTTGTGTTGGAAAGACTAGTAAACAAACAGCTTGTCCACTTTCATTGTTGGAAAGAGAGTCAACAAACATTTGTTGTTTGCAGAAAAGGATGTTGTGAGCGTTGGGTATGTTTTATATTGTTGATTCTCGAGGTTGTTGTTTGTTGTGGAGTGGGAAGCAAAAGTTTGTCCACTTTCATTGGAAAGAGGGTCAGCAATTAGTTTTTCTAGGTCCCCCAGTAGTGCCCTTTTGCCTTTTACCTTTCTTTGGGGGAGGGTTCCCCTACTAAAATAGACTAGAACACAAGTTGGTTACCCTTATTCTAACCTCTCTACTGTAGGACCTAGACCGATTTGTTGTTGACTTCCATTGGAAAGAGGGTCAACGTTTTCAGTTTCTGTTTTCAGAAAGGGATTTCAGAAAGTTTTGGTGTTCAGTTCTTTTAAGCTTTTTTTCTTGTTTTTTCTTTGTGCCATCCACTCGCTGGCGGTGAGGTTTACGGTCTCTGGCATGAGCCTGGGCGGGCCTCCCGGCCTGGCGCTGGCCGCGGCAGCGCAGCGCCAGCACCGTTTGGTGGCTGTGGCGGCGCTGATCGCCAACATGTGGAACCACCGGGGCTTCTCCCATTTGCTTAAGGAGACGTGTTGTTTTTTTCTCTTTTGGTGCATTTTGCTTGGATGTTAGGACTTTAACGTTTTGCCAACTAACGGGTTTCAAGGACTTCCCCTCGTTGCTTTAAAGAGAATCGGTTTCAATATGTGGTTTCCGTTTTTTGGCTGTAAGGAAATTCTATCACGAGTCACAACTTCCTGTTCAAATCTTTGTCTAGGGCAATCATGCTTCCATTTGCTTAAGGACACGTTTTACTTCTCTACCGCTATTGGGTTGGATCTTTAGGCTTTAACCTGTGAAGGATTCCCATCAGATGTCCTTTTAACCCGCAAACAGTTAACTTTTTGATGGGGGATTTACAGCACCCAATACATTCCTTCCATTTGCTGAAATGAGCATGTTTCGCTGCCCCTTGTTGGTTTTCAAGGGAACCTATCACTGCTGGGCATGTTTCAAGGACTTACCCTTGTTGCTTCAAAGGGAATACTTGTTGGTTTTGAAGGGAATCTATCACTACTGAAATTTAAGAAAACAAAGGACAAACATTTTTTCTCCTAAGGGCCTTATTTCCCTATGGGTCTTATTTTAGGCCAATGGAAGGTTTCGACATCGTGGAGTCCATCTCGTACACGCTTTTGGAGCGCCTCGCCATTGAAGCGCTGCAGGGGCGACACCTGGGCTCTGTGGCCGCAGTGCCTCAGCTGCCTCCAGAGCGAAGCGGCGGGATCAACGGACCTTGTGGCTTCCCCTGGCTTGGAAACCATTTCTGCTGGTCCTCAGCAGGGGATGAGGACTGGTTCCCATTTAGTTGGGATCCCGAACGGTTCATTCCCAACACGCGGGCTCGTGGTCATTCAGGCAGAGCACCCCCATCCGGGAATCCCATGGTTGTTGTTGGCAAGTATGTTACAGTTTTGCTTGTTGTGGTTTAGTGGTTGAAATCCCCACTTAACTCCTAAAAAATCAATACATTGCTGCTTTTGTGCCAACGTCAACCAAGTTTAGTCTAGGTCCCGAAACATAAGAATCAACATTTTGGTTCCCCTGATTGGGTTCGCATGTTTTGTCACAACAACCCGAAAGGCGATCACTTTTTGGTTTCCCCTTGGTCCATTTTTTGTCATGACAACAGACGGTCACCTTTTGTTTGCGGGTCTTATTGGGCAAGTGAGGTGCTCATGCGCAAGATGATCCTCGGAACGGCGAACTTCAGCGCCAGCCCCATGGTCCCGGAGGACGTGACCTGGGACCGCGGGTTTTGGGGGGCCGACCTGCAGCGCTCCGTCCGCTATCAGCTGGCGGGCCAGGTGCAGTCGAACCGCCTGGCCTTCATCCATACGCCCGGGCCGTTGCTGGACTGGGCCGCGTTCAATGCGTCCGTCCCCGTGTACGTGTTCTACGGCGACAAGGATGACGTTTGCCCACCCGTGATGGCGGCCCACGCTGCAACCATGCTTCCGTGGGCAACGCGGGTGGAGTTTCACGGCACGCACTTCCACCTGGATGTGTTCAGGGTTGCGCAGGAGCTGTTTGGCGGCGCGTGAGGATCGGACGTTCAGTTTGCTCAGGGCGCTGTTTCGGCAAAGGGCCAACTGCCATGTCAGACCGAAGCTGCTGACTGACTGCCTTGGCTGCTGCGCCAGAAGGCCCATGTTTTGTCTTACTAAGTCGACAACTGGAGATCCTGGACAGTGTCACCACTGTTCTGTTTGGCAGTTGAATCATGTGGCGCGGGCAGCGTTGAGTTGTTTGGCGGAGTTGAGCAAAGGAATGGTCTGATGGCCTTCATGATAGGAGACAAGGTGCAATTCCTGCACTGTAGTGTCTTTGTAGGAAAACTATGTCGCGGTAAACACAAAGTTCAGACTTGTTCGGGCCAATCCACTCAGGAAGTGATGTTTGCATCCAAATGTGAACAGTATCCGACGAACATGTTTATGCTTGTTTTCTGTATTGGAACAACTCGCAGGACATGAGACTTGTGACGTTCAATGTGCCCAAGTCGACTTTTATGCCATATCTCTAGGGGTTGATTCCCCATTATTTTCAACCTTGTTTCTTTTCAAAAGCCAGCTGTTTCCCCTGGGTTTTTGATGGTTCCTGAAAAGTTGTGCCATTCTGTGGATGGTTGCGAAATCCTTTTAGGCACCACCTACGAAGCGGTGATTTCATGATTCCCCTGTAAATACCAATGAAATGGCTTCCGATGGTTTCCAAGTGGTGCGAAATGGATTTCGTTCATCCATGGTATCTGCTGTTTCAGGTCCAGGTCAAAGTGAGTTTCCGCTCGGACCTGCAGGCTTCGCGGCAAATCGCGATGAGGGTGAAAGGAGAAGTGTCCGGAATCACACTACACATAGACCCCCCACTTTGTGTCCCGCAGCGAGTGACGGATGTCAGCTAAAAAAAACAGTCTCCGGATCAACTTGAACCCTCGTAGTTCACCGTAATTTAGAAGGATTTGTTGGGTAAATGTTACTTGCAATACGGCAGCGGCATCCGCTGGACACACGTTGAGGGTCTAAGTAGCACCCGACTTATTGAGGGGGTGTTAACGAGGCGTATTGGCTTCATGTCTATTGACTATTGGATCTTTGGACTTTAACTTTTTGCTTGAAACACTGGATTTTCCATTGGACCGACTCTTTGGGGCTGTCCGCGCAGTTCTGGCTGGGGGAGTTGGCAACAGCGGATGCAAGGGCCTCATGACAGGGACGCAACCCCCAAAGACCAACCGGTAAGCATGTTCATCTCATGTTCAGCCGGGCAGAATGGCAGCTTGGGGAGGGGCCACGCTTGTTTTAAACAGACCCTGGCCCCCTTCAGTCAAAGGGCAACCAAAAGACACGAAGCTTCAAATGCGACGTGAGCATGTTCCCGTCTCCGTGATGTGATCAATCCCCCTGCCCTCCCCCCCAAAACCCCTGTTTCCCCAGAATGAGGCTCTTTAGTAGGGCATTTTGAAACCTTACCTGCGGAATTCCTGAACTTCATCCTTTTTGGGTTTGGACCATTCCAGTGCTAAAGAATTAGTTTGGACTTTTTTTGGGCCACTCGATCGGAAGTGAACCTTGTTTGGTGACGCCAGCCCTTTTGGTCCTGCTTGCGCTTTGTCAGGGGAAGCGCAGCGAGTGAAGGCGCCCGGGACGTCAAGTGGTTCCTCCCCCTGGCCTGACAGAGGGTCCCTTTAAGCCAACAAATACCTTTTGTTAGTGGGACACTTCGCACATCACCAAGTTGGCTTCAAGTTGATCCCCTGTTGAGACTGGCAATGTTGGCTTCAACTTACTGGTGGGTTTCCACTAAAATGATCGCCTCTTTTGGAGGTTCCAAAAAGGGAAGTGGCTCGGAAACCTTGCAATACTGAAGGTTCCCTAATGCACTGCCCATTCGAAAATGAGAGATCACTATTTTGGGGGGGTTGGACAACAACGGAGTTTCCTGCAGCACATAATTTGGGAAGGGTTTTCCTGTGTCTTGCCCTGACCTCGACATGTTGCTCGATCCCCGCCCTCATGGAGGCCCTCTTCGGTGTTTTTTGGGATACAAAATCCCCGTGATCGAGTGCCAAACAAGGGTCCTAGGGAATTGGCTCGAATCTAAGCAGGAAAATATCCCAAGGTTGCTTCGAGGACTTGATTGACCGGTTGTGCACATTGGGCCATACATGCGCCCATATTTGTGTGTAGCCTTATTGCTTGTTTTTTTTGGTTCGTGGTGGGTTTCAAGAAACATTACCAGCGCTTCACTATTCTTGGCTTTTTTTTTTAAAAAAAATAGTTTGTTGGTTCTGTTCATTTTTTATGGGGGTCTGCAAAAAACAAAGTTTTTCGCTACCGTACCAAGAGTAGAGATGAGCAGCAGGTACATGGTTCATCCCACTATTTGTAGGGTTTTAATGAAGACTAGGTGACGCGGTACTGTGGATTTGGTCCGTCCACGGTGTCGTTGCATTCTTTGCTTGGGGGCGGGTTTTTGCACAAAAAAGGGCCGGTTTTGGCGTCCTTCCTCACCGGCTTCTTGTAGCAATGTCTCTGGTAGCCCGTAGAAATGGGAAGCCACACCCAACCTCCAGAGCACCAATTCGTGGGTGCATTTTTCTTGGATGTTAGGGCCTTAGGACTTTTTGATCCAACTACTGGGTTTTCCGTACTTTTTGGCCACTAAAAGTTAGTCACTTTCAGCAGAGCCTTCCGAAAGCAACCGATTTGGTGGGAATGTACATCGATCCCGTCTGTGTGGCTGCCACTTCTTCATGCCACGCAGCATGTGACCGCGATTCGTTTTCTGCCGTGAGCCGCAACTTTTGGATCAGAGGTAGGTCCAGTATCAGCCTCTTCAGTCAGAAAGCGCGGCTCGGCAAGGCTTGAATTGACCACCATTTGCTTAAGAATATGTTGTTTTGCCTTGCTGGTTTTAAAAGGAATGGGTCACTGGATTTTTTGTTTGTTCCAGGAAACTTGCAAAAGTCGGCGATTCAATCTCGCGCAAGTCTTCCTTGCCAAGCCATCAGGCCGAAACCTAGATTCATGACCCTGAAGCTGTCTTGGACTCTGTCTTTTTACTTCAAAATTTGTTTACTGGCACCCTGGAATCTGTTGTTTGGCGAGTTCCTCTTTGAAACACAAGGCATCTGTTCTGAGAGCAGCCTGGGCTTTCTGAGAGAGGTGGGGGGGAGCCATCGGACTGGACGAGTGGATTCCCCAAAGGAAAGTCTTCCAACACCCTCCTGTGAGCGAAGGGTGGGCCAACCAGAGGGTTGCCGTCACCATGCCCTCGCCGGGAGACGAAGTGGAGGCTCTTCACGGTTCCTTTTAGGATGCCTGGCCTTTCTGAACAACATGCTTACCTCCTGATTTGGGTGTGCGTGTCTTTTTTAGAAGGCCCCTCTCACCTTTGCTTATGCAGAAGCCAAAAACCAAACCATACATTTTTTGCTCCCCCTATTTTGACACACGCTCAGTTTCTGTCGTTTCTTTGAGTGTCCGTTCAGCTGCCAATTGTTTGCCGAGGGATGGCTCGAATGGGATTGCTCGGATTTTTTGCCTCCCAGTGAATTTGAAGAATGCCTGCAAACGGGGCGGGGCTTGGGGGGAGGGTTGGTCTTATGATTTAGGAGAGTGAGGCTGCACCCATCCTATCAATAGGCGGGTGTCACCCACAAAAGTCCGGGGACAACATTAATCATTAGAGCCCGACTCCTGAAGCCTCCCCGGTCCCCGTGACTGCAAAGTGTTTCTCGCCCTCGAAGCAGGGTTTGTTTTCCTTTGGAGCAGTCTTGCACTCCGGTTTCAACCACTGCCACATGACCCAATGTGGACACATGTTGGCCCTTGACCAGGAGAAGACTCCTTCGGAACCTTGCTTGAGGTTGCTTCAGCGGTGCCTAGTGCGTTTTGAGCTGTAAAGTCCAAAAAAACAAAAACAAAAAGGGGTCCCTTCCAGACATGTAAATTATGATCACTGTTCATGTCTTTAGGTTTGTTTGTGTGTTGGTTCTGTTCATTTTGGTAGGGGCTGAGGAAAAAAAGAGCACGATTTTACTACCAAGGATTGGTACGTTTGTTTTACGTACTTAAAATTTGGGTGACTCAAGGGTTGGGTCACAGGACATTCTACAGGAAAACAGCTTGTTTAGGGTGTGTTGGGGGCCATGTCCTGCAGATTTTACTGTAGCCACACTGTTTGAGTGACCCCTGCGTTCCCTTACTTTGCATGCAATCGAAGAGGACTTCGAGTCTGTTCCCCCTTGAAGTAGCTGGAGTGACGGATTTTCCTCTATCCAGTGACCCCCATCCAAACATCACCTTGACAAGGGAATCCCACATCCAACTGACTTTTCCTGAATGGCCATCTTGTTCATGTTCTTGTTGTTTTTTGCCCCTGTTTTTCCTTTTTCTCCACTGGGCGTTTTTTCCCCATTTCGCGAGGCGTTTGCTCAGTGCTTGTTCGCAAACGGCAACGCTTGTGGCAACCGTCGCAAGGCTAAAATGTTCCTCTTCGCACTGTTCACCGTGGTGGCAGCCTCCACGGAAGATGCCTTGCAGCTGGATGCGCCAGGGCCAAATGAGACGTTCGGGAGAAAGGGCGGGACAGGCGCCCAGAACCTCCCAGAAAGGTCTTGGGGTGATCTGGGGTCGCCTCCCAAACAGTTTTTTAGATTGAGGGGGAATAGATATGACGCACATGTTTTTGTTGCTTAATGAAAGCAAATTTCACGTGGTTCCTCTTCATGGATCAGGGGTTTATTCATCTTGGACATCTTGGCGTCCATGTCAGGAGGTTCCGCGCTGTTTGAGGCCTTGCTTACTTGCTTGGACCTCTAACTTGAAATGTTTGGAGCGTGTGTGTGTGGGTGGGTGGGTGGGTGGTACATCAGGCATAAGAGAGTGTTCATGTTCCGCCGGCATAGGGAGTCGAACACCCAAGTCTTGTTCGCGTATTAAGACCTTCAACCGGCTTTGTCGGGTGCTAAACTTGCGCTTGAAGCAGCAGCAAGTAAAATAGCATCTCTGACTCCGTCGGCCTTTCAGAGAAAGGCACAGAGACAGGGAACTGGAACTTGTTTTTTGAAGGTATTCCCTGGGGTTCAACCCCCATTAGAACAAAGGTCGGCCCAATTTAGATGAGGACAATCCTTAGGAAAATTACGGTGATTATATGAACCACCATTGTTTTATTGGTGGGTTCGAACCGCAGGGTATGTTGAACGCTCGGGGAAGATGTCATGTTTACCTGGACAATATTTTGTCCCAGTGTCATGCTCTCAGTCCCAGCTTGCTCCAGCAGCCAAACGGGGCTGGTAGCTTTGTTCTGCTTGCTGCAGCTTGTGGAGGCTCGAATCAACCGACCCCTCAATATCAGCTGCGAATCAACCGACCCCTCGATATCAGCTGGATGTGGATCTCTGCGTGGCATCGCACGGCCGGGCAACAGGTCCTTTGCTTGGAGAACACACCTTGGTGTTGTTCCAGCGGTGGTCGCTTAGTCGCGCTCTTGAAATTCAACCTAAAACCCGAAAAGATGATCAACTCCACGAATTTTCACCCTCTTGGGACCGCCTTGCAACGAGATTGCCATGCCCAGTGGCACAGTGGCAGCCCTTTTTTTGCGGAACTCAAATTCCTTTTGGCCGCCCCTAGTGCACCAACCTGTTTTCAGGGCTACCAAGCCTGAAGGAAAACAGGCTCCTGTTCCCTTTCACCAATTCACGCGCCGAGAGCCAAGGACCAGTGCAGCAATGGCGAAGGCCGGGATGGGACGTGGTTGTCTATGGTCAACTCGCTCCCTGCAACAGAAAGTCACAGGGGAAGGTCTCACTCCCTGTCCCTGGACTTTACACGTTTTGGGTTTGGATCATTTTGGTAAACAATAAGTGGACTTCGTGGGTACAAGGGGTGAGTGGTTTAGTGCTCCACACGCCATTTCACGCCCCATTCGCAACGCCTCGCGTCGCTAGGCTGCCACCTCAACCTTGCCCAGCACCTTGCCTGAGTGACAGACACGGGTCCCGCTCGATCGGCCATGGTGCAACCGAGCTGGACGTGCGGGTCAAGATTCTAGGTGGTGACTCCCCATTCCATTCCATTCAACCATCGGTCGCGCGCCCTGCTTTGGTTGGTTTATGCTGGCTTTCTGCAGGGAAGGGTGCCTCGAAAGAATTTGGAACTTACCTCTAGAAAGATGAGGTCCGGCATGTCCTGCAGATTTGGATGAGACATGGGATGCCCGCGGGATCTGCTGCTTTTGACTCATGAGTCAAAAGAAAAGTTGTCTCTGTTTGCAATCATGGGGGTTCTAAGGGGAGATGGAGAGTGACTACATGACTCCAGTCTGAGTCTAAAGAGGTTTTGCAACATAGAGGTTTTGTCTCGGTTTGTGTTCTGAGGGGAGAGTGCCCACATGTCGAGGGAACACTTCCATTTCCATTCTTTCCAGGGATCCTTCTTTCCCGAAAACCGCCCAGAAATGAGGGGAGACAGCGATCGGTCTTTGAAATGAGCGATGGTTGCAAAGAATGGAGTTGGAATGACAATTCTTGGGATCCCTGTTTCCTAACCTCCCGTGTGCAATGAATAGTCTTCCCATTTTTCCCCCAGAACATGACTCAAGCCCAGTGCCCTGCAAAGAAGGACTCCCAGCCTCGGCTCGCTCGCTCGCTCCCAGGCTGCGAGGCCTGGCAAATGCCAGCCAGGCAGGCGCAGCAGTTGCGCGCGGCGGTTTTTTCGGGTTGGGGCACTTGTTGGTGAGCCTGGGTGGATTGTTTTTCTCACTCAGTGAGTTGAGTCTAACTGGACTTGAGTCCCTTTTTGGGGTTTAACATGTTTAACCAAAAGAGTGGGGTTACACTGTAGATGTGGTTTGGGCTTGTCTCACTCACTGAGTTTAACCCGTTCCCAAGCATGTTGGAAGCTGATGATGGGAAGGTTTTGGAAGACGACATCTATTCCTTTAGGCGAACCCCCCCCCCCGGAATCCACGTCCGCGGTTGTTGAAAGGGGCACAGAACGCCGGGAGAAGCGCTCAATTCCTGGACGTTGAACTGCACATACCTCATAGGAAGGCCACGCGGTCGCAATTTGGAAGTGAGGACTTGTTGGCTGGTACGCTCTGGATGTCAGAATCCTGGGTCCTATGGGTGCTTTGCGTTTTTTCTTTTCCAGTGGGTGACAGTATAAAGGGAGGTGGGACAGGCGTTTTGTTCTCCAAGCCCTGGGTGGAGTTAGTGATTTGATTTGCTGGTGGTTTGGTTTGTGCAGGGCTGGTAAGGCTCGCGCCATCAGGAACACTTCGGCATGGCGATGACCCACCTTGGGCCAGGGGGTTCTTTTTGCCACCTCTTCTGAGAAAATGGGGCGGCTTTCTCAAAAAGGCCTCCTTTTTATAGGGGGCCCATCCTTTTTCCAAAGGTGGCACAAAGACCCCCCTGGCCACAGGGGCTCGGGATGTTCGCAAGGGCCGGCCGCCTTTTTTTGGCGAATCTGCCAGGCCCGCGGGCTGTAGATGTCGGAGCTCATGGAATTGAGTCACTTGGGCATGGATCATTTTAGCCGGTAGATGGTTCAGACTTTTGTGGGCCCATTCAGGAAGGGAGTGTCCCAGGAAGTGTCTGTGTCTTTTCTTTGTTGCGAGGATTTTGTGCGATAGAAATGACTAAATTGAGGTTGTGGGATGCACTTTGCACCTAGCTTTAGTCATGAACATACGTTCAATGATTCAACTGATGCTAGGCATTCTTCCGCTTCTCAAGTCTTGTTGTAGACCCACTTGCCCAGTGGCGCCCTTTTTCCCTTTGAAAGAGACACCGTTCCCCTTCAAACTCAACCAACCAAGAAAGGATGCTCTTTTTTTCCCATGGAAATCCACTGGGCATCTGAGTAGAAGCGAACTTCCCCGTGTTTTGCCGGGTCAAAGCCAGGCGGGCGACCGTGCAGGCCGGAGGGCATGGTGCAAGATGGTGCAATAGCTGAGTCTTACAGGGGTCATTTCTCCTGGTTTGAAAGACGTTTGGAGCTATTTAACATATTTGTTTCTTTGCCAGGAGGTCATATTTTGGGGGAAATTGTTGTAAAAGAGGTTTCGGAGCAATTTGTTGTGGTGGATGCCCTAAATGTTACAAATAGACCCACTACACTCGACCTTACTTGCATTGCAGTATTTCGAGAATGCATCGTACCAAGGGCTCCCCTTAAAGTGACAAAGTAGTGATAGGGATGGCCACCTTTGGTATAGCAGAAAGGCTGGGTTCCCACTGTCACAATCAAGTTTCATTTTTAATCCTTATGCCAGATGGTATTGGTTTCCCTTGTTCTAGTGACTTAGTGATGTGTCACTCCGGGTTACTGAAACTCGGATTGGGGATCCGCCCATTTTACTTTTTTGACAGTGAAAGTCACCAAGGGAGCCACCCTTTCAACACTCAATGTAAGAAGCTAGCAGTCTGCAATCTCTTTGGCCACTTCCGTGTGTCTTCCGTGGGATCCTGATGGTGTTGCAGGGAAGAACAACTGCCTACCCGGCTTTTGTTCGCGACTCAGCGGCTGTGTTTGTGTGTGTGTTGCTTGTGCCCCGTTTTGGCTGGGTGCTAAATATCCCAGAATTCTCCAAAAGGGACGGGTAGCGTTTCATTTTTTTCCAGACCCCCTATATTTTCTAGGTCCCCCAGCTAGGTGCCCTTTTACCGTTTCTTTTTTGGGGGAGGGTTCACTAAAAACTTATTCTAACCTCTCTCCTGGAGGACCTATATGTTGCAATCTCTATTCCGTTCACCGCGGAAATGGATCGGACCCCGCGCAGGGCTCGAGCAGGTGAGGAGGCTTCGGCGGCTTGGCGGGAATGCCTTGCTTCGACCAAACCTGTCCGCGCAGACTGTGAGTGAACGACATCCTGCAGAAAGGAAATCCTTGGAATGTGGATTCCCCCCTGTAAATACCAACCAGTAGTATGGGTTTCCGAAATGTCCAAGTGGTGCCGGATTTCGCCCATCCACGGTATCAACTTTGGATTCATTCGGACCGTACTTGTCAGAGGAAGTCCCCAAGATTTGACTACGTTCTTGCTCAGGGGGGATCACCCATGGTTACAGTCCTGAGGATTGATCCCGAATGGTCCCATTCGCTCGATACGTCTTGGCATGACCTATGGCATGAGGCTACATGTTGCCCCTGTTGTCAGAAAACAAGACGCCAAAGAGGTGAACTTGCATGTGTGGAATTGGGCCTCATGATGGGTGCGAGCAACTCCCGGGACGGCGCCATCGACTTTTGGATCCTTCCTGTCCACGTGCCATGGAACCCAGCAGAGGGCCCCTGGAAGAGGAAAACGGTCCAAACCAGAACTCGAAAACTAAAGCAGACTACAGACAAAAAACAAAGTATCCTTGTTCTAACCTCTCTACTGGCAGACCTAGTGGACGAGGGTCATATGCGGGCTGCCTCCAGGTTTACGATTCCAAAAGCCGCACAAGGCAACTCCAAGCATGGAATTGTTCAGACCCCCTGTGCACCTTCGTGCTGTCATGTTGGTTCCGTTTCTGCGGGTAATCACGCAGGCCGCCACAGGCCGCCACAGGCCTCTGGTTTGTTGGGGCCAGCCAGCTGGAGTCATGGGGTTGGTTCCGTTTCTCATCGGGTTTTTCAGTCGGAAACTGGAATCGGTAGTTCCCTTTCTCCGACTGAGCGGTGGTGATGGGGCCAGTGGGAGTGCAACCGTTTTGTGGCCCATGTCCGTGATCGGTGTCCCGAGATCCGGAAACAACTATCCCCTGTGAAACAAGACCAGATGTGATCACGATCATTTTATGTTGTTGTTATTGTTCTTTGTTGAGTAGCCCAGAAAACAAACATGGAGCAAGCCTTTTTGGGCTACAAACCATCCTTTGGACCAGCTTACTTGTCAGCGAAATGGGCTTTCTGCGAGCCCAAGTGCTAGCTGAAGGTCCGGGCCACCCTCAAAGCGAGTGCTTCAAACCATCCTTGCCTGGCGTTTCTAAGGTTTCTTACCTCTTAAAAACACAACATTTCAACTCTTTGGGTAAGATGGGCTATATGTCTGTAAAAGATGAACTTCCCCAATCCTTGGAGTTTTAAGGGGTAAGGGTTTGATTCCCCATTCTTTTCACCCATGGTTCTCTTTAGACACCGCCTATTTTCCAGGGTTTGGCCCGCTTTTGGAGGAGAAGGATCCCTGAAGAGAATGGGGAGGGTGGAGCTAGAGCTTTTAGTTGGCTTGCCGTCGGGAGAAATAAACCAGTGTTTGCCCTGAGTCGAATCCTGCCTGTGCGACCAAGCCTCTTGCCCAGGATAGTGAACGCGTGCAACAGACATCCGCACCTCGGCAGGGCAAAGCAAAGCCAAGGAGTCTGTGTACGCGGAGTCCTTACCTTTCACTTCCTGAGTTGCTGGACTTCAGTTACTTCTTGGGAAGTTGTAGACAACGAAGTTCCAGGGTACTTTTCTCGGTTTATCCACTCAGGAAGTGAGACCTTGAACGCTGTTGGCTTGGGTGTTTGTCCCATAGCTTCTGGGGCAAATGAGTTGCCAACTGACCTGCCAAAGCTAAACTTTTGGGCAGGCCATCAAGTCACGGCTTTATTTTTGTGGACTTGCCCATTTTGGAGCTACCGGCCTCATAGTCGCTCAAACTGAGCCTTCGTCTTGCCTAGCAGGGTTTTGGAAGATATGGCTCAATAGCATCAGAAGAATCACAGTGGGCAATTTCCAGAACCCGCAGATCCAATGGGAGCCCAGGAGTAGTAACGCCTGGTTGGGCTGGGGAATTGCTTGGGGAACAGCTACCCCTTGACACATGACCTAAGGATCTGGATTGCGCATGCAGTGGGTGCGGGGGTCGGGCCAGATCCGCAGAACGCCCGGGCCCAAGTGACCAACGCCATGTCAAAACGGATACTTCCATTTGCTTAAGAATATGTGTTTTCTTAATTTCTGCTGTTGGTTTTAAAGGGAATCTATCACTACTGGACCTATTTCTTTGCTTTTCCAGGAGTCTTAGCCAAATGGAAGGATAGGGTGCCAAACAACTTCGCCCCTGCAGATGTACCCAACAAGACACCAGTTGTATTCGGAAACTCTCTTTGGGGGAACCCCCCCCCTTTTTGGGGACTGGGACTGGCGTGCCAGAAGGCCAAAAAATAAGACATAACCGTTGCAGGGCAAATGTTACTCCACTGTTCTTGGCATGTTTTTTAGTTTTTTTGTTCTGTTCATTTTTACTGTGGGTCTGCAAAAAACAAAGCTTTTTGCTACCATACCTAGAGTAGAGATGGTTAGATATTGAGCTGCCCACAACTTCCTCCACCTCTCCCTCCTCCACCTTGACATCTGGGTCCTGTTTCATGCCTCCCACCACCTGGAGGACTTCCACAGAGGAATCACTGTCAGACTGTGGTGGTGCAGAGGTTCCTGATGGCTGTTGGGAGGTCCCTGATGTCCCAGGAAACGTGGGACTGGCAGGGGTGAGGCTGTGGACCACATCACTGGCTAGGCAGAGCAGCTCCTCCTCCAAATCCTCATCCAGGATGCCCCCTAAAACCAACAGCTCCTGCGGCCAGAAGGCACGAACGTCCACCTCCCCAGGGGCTGGACTGCCCGGGGGAGAGGGCCGGAAGGTGTCCTCCTCCTCCTCATCGCCGGAGGGAGACATCAGGTGGGCTGCTGCCGGAATGGGGGCTGCCTCCTGATTTTCCTCCTCCTGATCTTCCTCCTCCTCCATATCTTCCTCCTCCTCCGTATCCTCCTCCTGGGGCCTAAGGAGGGCAGCAAACGACCGGATGGCCAGTTCCAGCGCCCCAGGAGTTGGAGAGTCCCCTCCTAAGGAGTCTTGGAAGCAGAGGGCCACGACATCCAACAGGTAACCCAGCTGGGCCCGCACTCCATCCCATACGGAATCCTTCTTTCGTAGCAGGCGTTCAACCTGCCTGTTGCTGAAACCTGCTCTCAGCAGAGATTCTTGTAACATGCTTCTGAGAGAGATAGCCATGATACGTCTTCGGGGTATAAATCCAACACAAGTTCTGATAAAATTCCGGGAGTTGACTTTTCAACTGTCTGGAGATGCCCCATCACGTGACCCAACTTCAAAGAGGCCGACAATTAAGGTCCAGACCCCTCTTGAGCAAAATTGCTGAGAAAAGCCCTAGCAGCTCGATCGAGAGATGCCAAATAAGGTAAGGAATTGATGTCGTGTTAAATTTAAAATAGGCTACATGTTGGATTTGTTTTATTTACATAACAATTTCTTTTTAGAAAGCTCGAGCGACCATGTAAAGTAGGAAAAAGGGATGAAATAAGGAAAATTTCACTTGATGGTTGGTGCCATTAGATATCTAATACTGCCCCACAAGTGCTATGTGATTTTTGGAAAATTCTAAAAAGTGACAACAATTTGGAAGTAAAGGGAAATAAACCACAACTTACTTTTAGCTGGCCCATCACCCGGTGTGTGAAAACACCCCTCCAGTATACGGCCTCCTGGGCGTTATTTCCTCTCTCTTGGGCTGCTTTTCTTTCCAGCAGCTCGAGCATTAAATCCCAAAGTTCTGAAACTGTTACTGGGGTGTGCAACGGCGCAACGGGTCCAATTATGTTCCTGTTCGGGTCAGTGGCTGCAACTGGGTTTTGGCTACCCGCATCCAGGGGTGGTGCATGCCTTGCAGTAGCTTACTCCCTGGGTTCCTGGACTTTGTACTTTTCTTTTTGGGAAGACCATCTTGGTGGTAAATGGCAAGTTCAGCCTTTTTGTTGGCCAATTCGCTCAGGAAGTGAGATTATCAATCATTTGTGCGGATTCTCATGCAGCTGGCACAAATCTGTTTGATGTCAACCGATGTTGACATCAGCCCCTGAATGCACGAGGATGTTGTGAATATCCCGTGAGTATTCGCTCCTATGCCCCAGTTGCTCAACAAAGGCGAGAATTCCCTGTGATTCATTTCTTAAGGACCCCTGCCTCACTCCCTGAGTCGCTGGGTATTGGGGAACGCCATTTTACCGGAAAACAATCAAACCGGGTTTTGTTTGGCCCATCTCCTCCATCCACTGGATCGGAAGCGAGGTGAGGAGGTTTGCTACGGGAGCACAAACCCAGTTCTCAGGTACACCCCAAAAGACTGATTCGCCCCCATCCCACGACTCTGAGGTCATGGACCTTGGTCTCTTGGGTTTGGTTGCCATAGTGGCACACCAGAAAGTGGATTCCTTTGGCCAGTCCAGTTGATCGGAAGTGACAAACGCTGCAAACCCATCCTATATGGTGCTCTCCCAAAACCCCTGCCAAAGTCAACTGCTGTCAGCAGACCCGGGCATGTGTGGGTGGGATGCCGGGGGGGGGTTCATAATTGGGGATGAAAAGACGGGTCCCATTCCCAAAGTCCCATTTTGGGAAAAAACACCTGTTCCATGTCACCCACGGAGGTTTCTTTCAGGCGGTCCATTTCTTTTTGTTGCTGATTTACAGTTGCCCCAAGCAAATCAGTACTCCCACGGTGCGCCTTTCATGACTGGTCTTTGACATGTCCCACTCCCGCATTCCACTTGTCTTAGGCCTTAGTGGGCCCAAAATCCGCGGCTTGCTAAGGTGAAGATTGCGCCCAATGGGTTCCACGACTTTGCCACCCCCAGCCATTTGTCTGCCACACGCTTCTGGCCAAAGCCTCTCGGCATCCATTTTGGGGGCACGAGCTCACTGAAGGGACGGCGAGCACTTCAGTGCTTGGAATGTTTTGGGTTTCGTTCGCTTCTATTTGCCTAACGATATTTGTTATGTTCGCCCTGTGTTTTTTCTTCTTCTTCTTTTTAAAGAAAGGAAATCTATCACTGGACATTTTCCAGGGGCCTTAAGCAACTGGAAGTTCGGTTTGTGGTTCTGTTCATTGTTAGTGAGTGCTGCTAAAGACAAAGTTGTTGGCTACCATATCCTGGTTTGGGAATGTGTCAAAAAAGTCATTGGCCTCAGTGGACCCTGCAACACGCACTGAGGCAACCATTGGGTTTTTTGATTCAGGGAGTCGCAATTTGGCTAGACTCACAGAAGGAGGTTGACCGAACCTGTTTGATTTCCTCTCCAGGACGCTAACCCACCGGATTTCGAATGGACGGGTTTCTAGAATTGCCGGCTCAGCATCGCAAGGGATCGCCCGTCAGGATCCACGGTTGTTTTGGATGTTTGCCGCTGGACACTGGATGCATGTGGAACATGACATCAGCGGTGTTCCCGGGGTGCGTGAAATTTCGGTGATGTTTGGCTAGGAAGCCGCTGAATTTCCTTGAAATTCAGAGCTAAAGACAAGCTAAAGCATTTACTTCCCTTCAGGGACTTGGAAACAGCAGCATAAACACCTCCATCGGCTGGGATATGGGCATTTTGTTGGTCTTTTTTGCGGGACCCCCCAAAATGGTGGTTCCCTTTGGGTTTCCCTTTAATGCAGTAGCCGAAAAGGGGGCCTCCTAAAGCAAGACGCACCCAGAAATATGGACTGGGCCACATCCGGGCGACATGCCAAGGATGGGCTGCGATGCGTCTGGCAACAACTGCCACGCGGCGACAAAGTGGTTGGACCCGACGTCTTAGCGTCGTGTCCAACAGCTGTGGAGGCAAGGGAGGTGCCCCTATGGCGTTTTGCTCCCCTCTAAGGGTGCCCCCTAAAATGTTTGAGGGTACCCCCCTAAAATGGCGCCCCATTCGTTTGCGCACGTTTGCCTTCCCAGGGTCCTGACTAGGCTCCTTGGCTTTTGGGGCGGGTTCTTTTGGAGTCCGCATGGAGCCAAGTCTTCAGTCTGCCTCAAACATGGGGAACCCGAAAAGGGGTTCCCTTCTTCTACCGGGTCACATGAGCGAATGTACTGATTCCCCACCTTGTCCCTGACACTACTGGACATTTTGTGGGCCCGAATAAGGCTAGGGGGACAGTCCCACCCAAAACAGTGCAACCAGCCTTCCTTTTCTTTGCACGGTTTTGCTTAAACCATTGAACTATCAGGTTTGGATTGCGACTCCCCGGTTTGGTTTGTGTTTTTCCCGGGGCCGCCCCCAATATCTCAGGCCAGATCGGCAGCAGTGGCGGCCCGGGCCAAAAATGCCAGTTCAACCCGGCCACGGGGCAGGATACTTTTCGCGCGAGTCGAATTCGCGCGCTGAGGTGTCAGCAACAAACAACATATCTGGCTCCTTCAAACCTCACTCCCTGAGTTTAACTGGACTAGTCACTTTTACGGCTTGGACCATGTTCCCCGACTCCAAATACCCACTTGTTTAGGGGTATTTTATGGAAAGAACCACGCTTTGCGCGTTGCGAAAGCCTTTGCAGATAGATACATTTTACATTTTGCCAGTGACTCCACGTGAAGCAAACAATAAAATATACATTCTATAACTGGCCCTAACTCTAATCACGGGAAAAAACAACTTTGAAAGTTTGTTAATCTGATTCCAGATAGGACACACGCATTGTCCTTGGGCGCCCCTTTTCAGCGTGGACAATGAGCGGAAACCGATGCAGGTTGCGCTCGCTGACAGATTCAAGGGCGAAATTGGTTCGAATATGGCACGCCATAAAGAGGAACAGATGAGGAGGATGTTTAACGCTGACTCCATTAAAAAAAGGAGAAAACAAAAGGAGAAAAACGGGGTGTTGTTGGGCTTCCTAACGCTGACTCCGTATTAACATATAACCCAGTTTATTAATATAATAGGGGTGTTGTGGGGTTTCGTGGGGAATCATCACTTTTGGAGGGAACCCCCCCCCCCCCAAATTAATAAACTGGGGTTGATTAATATGGTGTCAACATTACACAAAACTGTTGCCCAAGACGAGTTGACCGGATCTGCGCGTTTCGTTTTCCTGATTTGATTTGTATGGCAACCCAAAAAGGTGACCATGTGCACCTGAAGAATTCCTGCATGGGTTCCATCCGGGACAATTACAATTATAATATTGAGAGTTAGGCCAAGACAATGCTGAGTGCTTGATGTCGACCGATGAATTCAAATACACGGGGTGGCGGGCCCCATGAATACCCGCCTTAAGAGGGAAATTCCTGGCAGTGTGTGTTGTTCAAGGGAGCCCGTGTGGTTCGAGAAGCCAAGGTGAAGGAACCCACGAGTGATCGGTGTGATTTTTTTGACGGGGTTGTTGGATGGAAAAAGGAAGCAAGATGACTTCCCGATGTTGAAGCAAACTGTAAAACCATGACTCATCATGGCGCATGCTTGCCTGTTTGTGGCCATTTTTTGCGGTTTCAGGAGGACTACAGCCGTTGTGCCCCGCCGGTGGATACCAAATTCGAAGCGAGCCTCGGCGGGATGTCAAGTGATTCCGGAACTCCGGGCTGTGGCGGGAATATCTCAAGACTTGAGCTTGATTGCTATGGGGTCGGATCTTTAGACTATAACTTGTTGGTTGAAATCAATGGGGTTTCCATTAAACACACAAAAGTTCAACTTTTTGCAGAGGGGTCAACAGCAACAAAGTGAAGAGCAAATGAAGGTCCCTTGTTTGTTTCCCAGAGGCTCCCGATGTTTTTTGGGCCCTCAAACAGCCAGGTTTTGAGAACCCCAAACACTTGCGGGGTGTCTAATGGAGGGGTCGGGTCTTCCATTGAAAGCCCCAGGCGCTTCTGGGTTGGAAAATTCAATGTCTGTTCCCACTTTCTTTAAACCATTCCCGGTTGCGGCTACAGCACCCGTTCGAGCAATGTTTGGCCAGGTGTTGTTTTAGCCATCCTCCTAGGCTTGTTGTTTTTATTGGCAGTTTCTGTTTGACCACTAAAAGTTCGACCTGTAGCAGGAGATCTGAGGACAGCCCAGATCACTCTCTTGAGACGCCGCCATCGGGAGTAACCCCAAATTCTGGAAATCCGGATTCCGCATCTTTGCCATTCGGCCATTCTCTCACAACACACGTTGGGCACTGGAAGAAACTTGCTGACCCAGGGCTTGATGAACCTAGGGATTCCCTTCGAGGAAAACATAGGGGCTGGTTTTTCACGTGGCCATTCCAGCTTATTTGTCGTTCTCTGCCCATCGAACCAGCAAGAAAAGGGAGGGGGGGCTCCCCAGAGTCTTTGTTTCTACCCCCCCCCCCGCCCCTGGAATGATGGGCGCTCAGAGTCTATTTTGCAACCTACGTTTGGGGTAGTCGTTTTTTGGGGGGTGGCTGCAAATCGACGCTAAGCGTCCCTGGCACCCATGACAGCCCCCCCCTCTCCCCCCCCCCCCCGCCGCCTGAGAGCTCAGGAGCTTTGGAGAGAACGGCGCCCCTTGCAATCCGCAGACGCCTGGAGGCGTGGAAATGTCGGGCGCCCCAGGATCTAGGCGGGTTTCGGGCTTCGGATCTCGCATTTCGATTTCGGCCCGGCAAGGGTGTTGGGGCACGAGCTCGGGAGACTTCAAACCCCTGTTGCGTGTTGCTGGTAATTATTGCCCAATATGCCCAATATGTTACTGCTTTTACTGACTGAGAACTTCCTGGTGTTCATGTATTTGTCCATCTTTGCTTGGCACGTGTTGTTTTTTGTTCGGTGGTTTCTCACCTTCAGGAAGCTGAGCTTGTGCAGCCCACTCGCTTGATCCATTGCTTTGAGGCCTCAGTGCCATGGTCCATGGTCGATTCCATGTTTGTGTTTTTTGCATTGATGCATTGGCTTCACTGTTGTTGGCATGTTTTTTTGTTTTTTTCCCCTGCTTTGTCCACAACCCACATGAAGAGGCGGATCACCATCCATATCCTTACTCTCAAGGGCGAAAGGTCCAGAAGGTGACGTCCTCTTTCGACTATACCAACGTACTCCTTTTGGGTTGTCTTCTTGCCGCAAGACAACATGTGCTATTTCGGACGTGTTGTTTTTTCTATGTTGGCAGGAGATGTATGAGCCTGGCCTATGGTAGCATATGGCTTCGACCTATCCAGTTCTATGTCGTGCATTTGCTTCCAAGCTTTCCGTGAAAAAGAAACACAAAAGCGACACTTCTCGGGCTCAGGTTCATGGGTGCCGCAATTCCCCCACGAAGCGGACTTGAAAAGAGAATCTGACTTGTCACATATGGTGACCGTCATATGGTACCGGTACTCCAGACTTCCAACACTTGCCCTTTCTCCTTTTGTTCTAAGGCAAAGCTCTCTTGAAAGCCAAGCACCCCAAAAGAGCGTGCCCATCTTCATGGTTGTTGTTGGGAAACATTTTACATTTTTGCTTATTGTGGTTTAGTGGGAAATCCCCACAGACTTAGCTGCTAAAATTTGTTTTTGTTTGCTCCCCTTCCAACGTCTTGCTGGGTGACTACAGTTCAACCATCCAAGGGAACATCTCAGCACTGGTCTCGGAAATCTGACTGGTCTGACGTGAGAAGTCCACTAGGTTTACGTCACCAAATCTGTGTGCTGTGTTTGAGTTTTTTGAAGGTTCTTGTCCGAGAAGAAAACTCCCAAAGAAAGGAAAATCCGAAGGGGGATGGTGAGTTTTCTAGCCTTTCCAGACCCCCTCGGAGGGCCCCCTCGGGTTGCAATGCACGCTCTCTCGGGCTGGTGGCCATTTTCGGGAAGCACGTTTGTTTTAACAACGTCCTCGACTGCAAAGCAAACAGACCACTCGACCTTTGTTTTTCCAAGATATTTTCGGAGACCATTGAAAGGTGGCCCGATGGGGTGGCCTTTTTTTCCCTTATTGGTTTTAAAGGGGTCCATCGCTACTGGACATATTTGTATTTTTTCAATGGGGCCAAGAAGCACATGGAGGATTAAACGGTGGTCCCAAAGGGTCAGGTTTTTTCTTCCTTTGGGCACCCGAGACAACTCCTTCAACTCCTTGAGTTAGAGCGCTTCACTTGGTGGAGTCTCCCTTCTTGTCCTGGGCCAACTTTACACGAGGAACTGATGCTGTCAGAAGGAGCTTGAAGTTAGGCTAGAAGATACTGAACCCCCAGGTTTCTCGTGGCTCATGGCACATCATGGCGCGTTTTGTGTGAAAATGCTGGGTTGGCTATCTACAAAGGTGGTATAGGGTGGTTTTTGGCGGGGCCAAATCGGCCAAAGGAAACTTTTGGAAGCGACTGTGTGATCATTAAACCCACAACACGTGATTTGATTTGTGTTGCTCGTTGTGTGGGCGCGGGGAGCAAGCGGGCTTTCAGGCAATCCAACATGTGTGTGTGTGTGTGTTTTGTTTTTTTTTGCGGGTGCCCTTTTTGGTTGGTCTTGAATGGCAACCACAAGGACACCAACCATGTTTGGGTTGTCTTTTTAAACAACCGTTGCCATTTAATTTGGGACCGGGGCTCAAATGGCTCTTGCCGGAGGAAGGGTTTAAACCATTGCCATTTGGAGTCTTGGAGTTTTGGTCCCCCAAACGCCAACACAGTTTGAACTGAGGAAGGGCTGCGACTATGTGGACATTAGCCTGGTGGATGGCTGGACTTTGCCGGTGAAGCTGGACGTCCACGGCGATTGCATCCAGGATAGTCTTGGAACCAAAGACCCAGGGAATGTCAACCCCGGATTTATTAAACCTCTGGTTGATTGATATGGGGGCGTGTACCTGTGTGAAATGTGGCAAATCAGACCGCAATGAATGGGAGCGGAACACTAGGACGAGTTGATTGCTCCAGTGTCAACACGAATATTATCGATCATTGGGTCAATTGCGGCCAGGTGCAGGTTGTCTTCCTATGCAACTGGAGTTGGAGCACTTGCGAAGCCATCAAACAAATGTTCCCCAGAACCTGTCCAGGGAGGGTCGCCTCAAGGTATGCCGGGCCTTGGTGCATTGCAAGTAGGCAAGCCAGTTTGTGTCATAGGGGATCGTTCAGTTTGTCGGCGAGTTCCAGTTGGCTTCCCTTCAAAACAAGCACAACAGGGGGTACGCTCAAGAAAGTCCTGAAATGTTGGAGCCGCCACCCCCGAACCACTACCCTATGTGTCCCCCAGAGGAAACAGGGTCTATACCCTTTCAACAATGGCTGAAAAGTCTAACAGTGGATGAAAATCCAATTGAACTTACTTTGGGCGTAGTGGTGTGGTGGCAGTAGACACCATTTTGAACGACACACTCACTTGCAGACTTTGGGGCATCAACCCCGACTGCTTTCAGCCTGCTTTCACGGCCCGAGGTAGGGCGGCCAACGACCAGAAGATCGAGGACGGGAGTTGCCCACAGTTCAGAGAACCAGCTGATCCCCAGCAGTCCAGCTAGCTCACAGCGGGTCGACTTCTTGTGTTTTCCATTCTCGCTGGTGCGATAGGTAGGGAATGTGCGAATGAACCCAGGCATTTCCTTAAAGGAAACCGCAAGGGATGGTTTATAGGGGGGGTCATTCCACTGAGCACCAGCAAGTGGTAAATCTCAACAGCTTTCGTGCATTTGCCCAGTTCAGTCACACTAAATCCGTTTCTTGCTTGAATTCCAAATTAAGGTGCTCGACCCAACAGCTAAACACACGTACCATTGGGAAAGTGGGGGCGGAGGGGGGGGCTGTGGAAGCAAAACACGATAGCAACAAAGGCAACCTAGAATTCTCCATTCAGTGAAAGGAGTTCCGCAGACATCGTTGTTGTGTTTTTTTGGTGCGACTGGGGGTTTCCCTTGTTATCCTATGCGGGACATGCAGGATAATTTGGTTTACTACAATAAGGCTAAAACCAAAAGACATGATGTGGATGAACGATATCCTGCTCCAGTTGGGATTCCCATCAATACTAGAAGCTACCAAGGGGTGCCATGCGAAACGCGTCCATCCACCAGTATTACCACCAAAAGGCGAACAAAACTCGATTTCGTGCAACAGCTGGGTGAAAGCTGGCAGAATTTTATGTGATTGATTCTTGCTTCAAAGAAGAAACAAACACGTGTTGTTCGTTTGCTTGCACGGGATTGGGGCATCCACAGAGGGTGTGAGGTGGGATTTTCTGGTCGGTGGACAACTCGTCGCTGTCCCGGAGTACGGCACAGCCAGGCCTCGGGGCATGGCTATTTCGTCCATCCAAGGGGTCTGTCTCAAAAGGATGGACCCCCCAAAAAGAACAAGAAAGCGGAGGTCGTTTGCTTTCGGGTTCCCTTTGCAGCCACCCGAACAAGGGTAGCTGTACCTCAAACTACCCTGAAAAACTGGACATCGCCCCAGTCTTATGGTAAATTCCCATTTTGAAGGGTATGTTTTTTGACCAGAGTAGCCCTATGCCTTTAAACGGGGGTGCAGGTAGCCTGAACAAGGGGTGCACAGACATACTGTGGGTGGTCGAAATCCTGCACAGCCAAGAATCCCTCAAATGATGATTTTTCCTGGAAATGCCAACGAGCACTGATTTGCATGGATTCAAAACGGCGCAGGATTTCGTCCACCCACAGTAGGACGAGTTTCCTTCAGGTTCTGAACTGCGAGGGCCTGTCCTTGTCCTCCTGCCCCACGGCAGAGCAGCTGGTGGCTGCCGGCCTCTTGGCCGACTGCGAAAGCTCTGGGCAGAAGCAGCTGCTACTTTCCTCGGTCCCCCAGCTATGACAAACTTTTTTTGGGGAGAGTTCCCCTACTAAAATAGACTAACGGAGAAAAAGAAAGGGTACCAACTTATTCGAGCCTCTCTACTGGAGGGCCTAGTTTCCTCACTTCCTGAGTTCCTGGACTTTGACTAATTGAACTCGGGTTTGGACCAGTGAGGCGGTTGTACCGGTCATACTTCCCACTTCCCATGCCAGTTCTCCTGGGCTTGGGGCCTTCCTCTTCCCCCGCCTCCATTTCTGAAGGCCGGGATCCATTCCCTATGCTCCATGCCACGGTCCCCCAAAAGAGACCGTCCCCCCGCAACAAAAAGCAACCAACATTTGACACTTTGGTGCGTTTTTTGCCAAGGGCTGTTAGGACTATATAACTTTTTGATCCAACTAGTGGACTTTCCGCAAAAAAGACCACTGAAAGTTAAACTTTTAGCAGGGGAGCAGAAAAGCAACCGAGAAAAGAAGCCCGGCTCTTCCATTTGCTAAAACTATTGTTGTTGTTGTTTCCCCCCTTTTCGAAGAGAATCGATTTCACTACTGGATATATGTTTGTTGTCTCCAGGGGGCGAAGGAGCAAATGGAAGTATTCGAACCTCGTTTCAGCAATTTCCGTTTAAAGGGAACCTCGAACAGTTTGCAATTTCAATATAACAACCACCAATAAGTTGATCAAGTTTTGTTTTGAGGAATTCCAGTGATTTCTGCGTTGGTTCAGGCTCCCACCAATTCACGTGGAACCTGACAGGAAGATGGTCCCTTCAGGTCCTTGCAGCAACCAAGATTCTAGGGGTAGCTTCCCCATTCTTTCCAGGGAACGTTCTTTCTAGAAACTCACCAAAAACTCGGGGGGAATGGCTGGTTTTTGAAAAGAACGATGGCTGAAAATATTGTGAAATCAACCCCTAGAAAGATTTCAATTCGCCATGACCCGAGAAGCTTGACGGGGACCACTGGCTTGCGCCTTTTGTTTGTCTCACTCCCTAAGGTCCGCTGAAAGATCCCCAAAATGATCGGCCACAAGGACATGTGTTCGGGAGCAATAGGGGCTAAAGCCCTTTCAAGCGACCCCTTACAAACGAAGCCTCCAGAGATATTCCATTCTTGCACCTTTGAATTTTGGAGATGGCTCACTGGACGTTGCTCACTTAGGTTTGGTCCTGAGGGTAGAAGCCACAAACGACCCCTTTCTTTGGAGAAACCTCCGACTCAGGCGACCAACAACTTTCTCACTTCCTGAGTTCTGTTTCGGACTGAAGAGTAATTGTTGGGCCGATTTTTGCATTAAACAGACAGTTCACACAATGCACTCAGGAACTGAGTTGGTTGTGTTGTAGTGTTCGGCTTTGTTTTGCTGGCTTGTTTGTTGATCGTGTTATGTTGGTTTGTCCTTGCTCTTGTTGGCAAATGTCCGGCTTCCCTTGATTGGTTGTTTGGTGGTTCGGGGGCTTGAACCCTCTGGTTCCGGCAAATGGAGGCTTGCTTCCAATGGAAACCACCGTTCAAGGCGAAGCTCATTTGGTTTTGTCTTTTTTGGATGGTTCCCTTAGGCACCCCTTGGGTGCGAAAAGTCTGCGTAAAGAGTCGCAAGGCTTGGCAAAACAGGGCGGCAACATGCTTTCGTGCCAGTCGTCCTCTAGTTTTGGATATCAAGGGTAAGCTTAGTTGGTTTTGTCTTTGTTGGATGGTCCTTTGTTAGTGCTTGTTTTTGAATTGAGAAGCCAAAGGGGGTCTGTGTTTTTACATTATTCAGGGGAGGCTGCACTTCTGCTTTCCCCGGTAGGCATCACGGCGGACCTCCGTGCGGTGAACCCCAACACCAACAAGGCGAGACCGTTCAGACGCCAGGGGCTACTTTGCTGTTCGATTCGCCAAGTTGGTAAGTCTTCCATGCTTAAGTTGTGTTTTGTTTTACAAAGTCCTAATTTTGGTTAAAAAAGGAATTTATCACTACTGGAAATGTGTTTGTTTCCCCCCCGCGGGTCTTAACCAAGTGGAAGAAGTGGCCACCCACCTAGGCTTCATAGCCTACCAAGAACAGGGTTACTGTAACTGCAGTGTAAGGACTACCACCTAGGTGACCAAAGCTGTACTAATTTGGCGAATCGAACACCCGTGGTCACAACACGTCCTTTTCAGCTTCTCCCCGAAAAAAAGTGGGGCGTGGTTTGGGACCCAGTTTGGAGCTGTTCCCTGGGAATTCCCATTTACCCACAAAAGTCCAGAGGTTCAGATCCAAATCCATAACCCACCAATCCAAATCACTTCAGGGATGGCTGGTGATGGGTAAAAGGCCATCTGTGCCAAGCATTTGCCCGGCTCCGTGGATTTTCGAAGGATCGCAGTTTTCCCATGGCACTTGGAGCGTACCAAGCCGAAGCAACGGAATCGGTCAGACGCACCGCTCCAACCCAATTCGCGGGTCCATGGTGAGGTGTCTGGGTGCTACAGCCCCTGCGCCAAGCTCCTGGACACCAAGTGGAGCAACAAGGACCATCTGCCGTGCTCACTTGGCCCTTGCCTTTTTGGTTGGGTTTGCTTCCATTTGCCCTCCATGTGTTTGTTTTTGGTTTGGTTTGCTTCCATTTGCCCTCCATGTGTTTTTGTGGTTGGTTTGGTTTACTTCCATTTGCGCCTCAGAATATGTTCCCCCTGGAAAGTCATCATTTCTGTTTCGTGTCTTTTTTGTTTGGCTCTTCGCTAATGTTGACCCCAGATAGGGATAAACCCATCACCTCCAACAGTGATCAATCCCCACCAAACCAGGGGCATCAAAATCAGGGGTCCACTGGCCAACTGAGAGCAACTAGACTAATTTTGTTCGCCAGGAGAAGGATAGGAGGACTTGGGGTTGAATGATCCCCACCCCCTTCAAAATGGAATGGGGGGAGGGGGTGACCCCTGGGGAGCTCCATTTAGGGTTCCATTTTCCCTTTTGTGGGGAAAACTGAATAAATGTAGGACCCCCCTCCCCCCTCCCCCTCTATCGGTAGGGGTGCTGGTTGAATGTCATGCAGCAATTGGCGACTCCCTTGCAGCTCAACGTGAAACGCGCAATCCAGGGACGTTTTGGAGCGATCTGTTGGATGTCTCCCATTTTGGGTTCCATGCGAATTTACAGGGGGGCATGAGAATGAATCTGTGTAAAGGAGTATATGATGAAATCTGATAGCCACCCTTCCCCGTACTAGGATCCAGTTGGTGAAGCAGAAGCCACATTTGATTGTTGGTATGGGCGTTTCTCCTCGGATCGGAAAAGCCAAGAGTCAGACCCAACTAGAAGCTCGCTGTTGTTACTCAGTAAGTCGCAAGTTGATGCTTTACGAGTCTGGTTATGACTATGTGTTTCTGTTGTGTGTTCTCGGCGTCAGTTGTGCCGTCGGAAGTGTTCTAAGAATTCGCCGGAACCAAACAGCATGTCAACCAAAAAGGAGCCACTCGCTGAGTCTCAAGGCATTTGTTTTCAGAGTTCGGAGTTTCGAATTGTGCAGAATTATATTTGTTGATGGTTGAAGTCCGGGTGTGTTTTGGCTAGCCGCTTAGTTTGCAGTGCACTTATGTCCATTTTGGTTTGTTCCAACCGTATTGGGCAGGAGTGTGGGGTTTGCGACTAGGCAATTGTTGGCGGCAAGGGATAAACATGTACTGGTTGTGTGTTTGTGTGTTTGCGTGTTTGCGTGCTTGTGTGCTTGTGTGTTTGAGTGTTTATATGTTTGCGTG